CCCCTTCTACACCTTCCCCACCTCCCCCTTCTACACCTTCCCCACCTCCCCCTTCTACACCTTCCCCACCTCCCCCTTCTACACCTTCCCCACCTCCCCCTTCTACACCTTCCCCACCTCCCCCTTCTACACCTTTCCCACCTCCCCCTTCTACACCTTTCCCACCTCCCCCTTCTACACCTTTCCCACCTCCTCCTTCTACACCTTCCCCACCTCCCCCCTTCTACACCCCCACCTCCCCACCTCCCCCTCCCCCTTCTACACCTTCCCCACCTCCCCCTTCTACACCTTCCCCACCTCCCCCTTCTACACCTTCCCCACCTCCCCCTTCTACACCTTCCCCACCTCCCACCTTCTACACCTTCCCCCCTTCCCCACCTCCCCCTTCTACACCTTCCCCACCTCCTCCTTCTACACCTTCCCCACCTTCCCCACACCTCCCCCCTTCCTACACCTTCCCCACCTCCCCCTTCTACACCTTCCCCACCTCCCCCTTCTACACCTTCCCCACCTCCTTCCCCTTCTACACCTTCCCCACCTCCCCCTTCTACACCTTCCCCACCTCCTCCTTCCTCCCCCCTCCCCCTTCTACACCTTCCCCACCTCCTCCTACACCTTCTACACCTCCTTTCCCCACCTCCCCCTTCTACACCTTCCCCACCTCCCCCTCCTCTACACCTTCCCCACCTCCTCCTTCTACACCTTCCCCACCTCCTCCTTCTACACCTTCCCCACCTCCTTGTACACCTCCTTCTACACCTTCCCCACCTCCTCCTTCTACACCTTCCCCACCTCCTCCTTCTACACCTTCCCCACCTCCTCCTTCTACACCTTCCCCACCTCCTCCTTCTACACCTTCCCCACCTCCTCCTTGTACACCTTCCCCACCTCCTCCTTGTACACCTTCCCCACCTCCTCCTTGTACACCTTCCCCACCTCCTCCTTGTACACCTTCCCCACCTCCTCCTTGTACACCTTCCCCACCTCCTCCTTGTACACCTTCCCCACCTCCTCCTTGTACACCTTCCCCACCTCCTCCTTGTACACCTTCCCTACACCTCCCCACCTCCTTTCTACACCTTCCCCACCTCCCCTTGTACACCTCCCCACCTTCCTTCTACACCTTCCCCACCTCCCCCTTCTACACCTTCCCCACCTCCCCCTTCTACACCTTCCCCACCTCCTCCTTCTACACCTTCCCCACCTCCTCCTTCCCCACCTCCCCCTTCTACACCTTCCCCACCTCCCCCTCCCCACCACCTCCCCACCTCCCCCTTCTACCTTCCTTCTCCCCCTTCTACACCTTTCCCACTTCCCCCTTCTACACCTTCCCCACCTTCCACCTTCCCCACCTCCTTCTACACCTTCCCCACCTCCTCTACACCTTCCCCACCTCCTACACCTTCCCCACCTCCCCCTTCTACACCTTCCCCACCTCCCCCTTCTACACCTTCCCCACCTCCCCCTTCTACACCTTCCCCACCTCCTCCTTCTACACCTTCCCCACCTCCCCCTTCCACCTTCCCCACCTCCTCCTTCTACACCTTCCCCACCTCCCCCTTCTACACCCTTCCCCACTTCCCCCTTCTACACCTTCCCCACCACCTCCTCCTTCTACACCTTCCCCACCTCCCCCTTCTACACACCTTCCCCACCTCCCCCTTCTACACCTTCCCCACCTCCCCCTTCTACACCTTCCCCACCTCCCCCTTCTACACCTTCCCCACCTCCCCCTTCTACACCTTCCCCACCTCCCCCTACACCTTCCCCACTTCCCCTTCCCCACCCCCTTCTACACCTTCCCCACCTCCTCCTTCTACACCTTCCCCACCTCCCCCTTCTACACCTTCCCCACCTCCTCCTTCTACACCTTCCCCACCTCCTCCTTCTACACCTTCCCCACCTCCTCCTTCTACACCCCCACCTCCTCCTTCCACCTCCTCCTTCTACACCTTCCCCACCTCCTCCTTCTACACCTTCCCCACCTCCTCCTTGTACACCTTCCCCACCTCCTCCTTGTACACCTTCCCCACCTCCTCCTTGTACACCTTCCCCACCTCCTCCTTGTACACCTTCCCCACCTCCTCCTTGTACACCATCCCCACCTCCTCCTTACACACCTTCCCCACTCCCTTCTACACCTTCCCCACCTCCTGTTTTACACCTTCCCCACCTCCTGTACCACACCTTCCCACCTCCTCCTCCTACACCTTCCCCACCTCCTCCTTCTAAACACCTCCTCCTTGTACACCTTCCCCACCTCCTCCTTGTACACCTTCCCCACCTCCTCCTTCTACACCTTCCCCACCATCCTATTCCTCTATAGACATTCATTCCTGTGTACCAACCCCACCCGTGTACCAACCCCACCATTCCTGTGCACCAACCCCACCCGTGTATAAACCCCACCCGTGCACCAACCCCACCCGTGTATAAACCCCACCCGTGCACCAACCCCACCATTCCTGTGTACCAACCCCACCCGTGTACCAACCCCACCATTCCTGTGCACCAACCCCACCCGTGTACCAACCCCACCACTCCTGTGCACCAACCCCACCCGTGCACCAACCCCACCCGTGTACCAACCCCACCATTCCTGTGCACCAAACCCACCCGTGTACCAACCCCCCACCATTCCTGTGCACCAAACCCACCCGTGTACCAACCCCACCCGTGCACCAACCCCACCCGTGTACCAACCCCACCATTCCTGTGCACCAACCCCACCCGTGCACCAACCCCACCCGTGCACCAACCTCACCATTCCTGTGCACCAACCCCACCCGTGTACCAACCCCACCATTCCTGTGCACCAAACCCACCCGTGTACCAACCCCACCCGTGCACCAACCCCACCCGTGTACCAACCCCACCATTCCTGTGCACCAACCCCAACCGTGCACCAACCCCACCCGTGCACCAACCTCACCATTCCTGTGCACCAACCCCACCCGTGTACCAACCCCACCATTTCTGTGCACCAACCCCACCCGTGTACCAACCCCACCATTCCTGTGCACCAACCCCACCCGTGCACCAACCCCACCCGTGCACCAACCCCACCCGTGCACCAACCCCACCCGTGCACCAACCTCACCATTCCTGTGCACCAACCCCACCCGTGCACCAACCCCACCCGTGCACCAACCCCACCCGTGCACCAACCCCACCCGTGTACCAACCCCACCCGTGTACCATTCCTGTGCACCAACCCCACCCGTGTACCAACCCCACCCGTGTACCAACCCCACCCGTGTACCAACCCCACCCGTGCACCAACCCCACCCGTGTACCAACCCCACCCGTGCACCAACCCCACCATTCCTGTGCACCTACCCCACCCGTGTACCAACCCCACCCGTGCACCAACCCCACCCGTGCACCAACCCCACCCGTGTACCAACCCCACGATTCCTGTGCACCAACCCCACCCGTGCACCAACCCCACCCGTGCACCAACCCCACCCGTGCACCAACCCCACCAACCCCACCATTCCTGTGCACCAACCCCACCCGTGCACCAACCCCACCCGTGCACCAACCCCACTATTCCTGTGCACCATCCCCACCCGTGCACCAACCCCACCTGTGCACCAACCCCACCATTCCTGTGCACCCACCTCACCCGTGCACCAACCCCACCTGTGCACCAACCCCACCCGTGCACCAACCCCACCCGTGCACCAACCCCACCATTCCTGTGCACCAACCCCACCCCTGTGCACCAACCCCACCCGTGTACCAACCCCACCCGTGTACCAACCCCACCCGTGTACCAACCCCACCATTCCTGTGCACCAACCCCACCCGTGTACCAACCCTACCCGTGTACCAACCCCACCCGTGCACCAACCCCACCCGTGCACCAACCCCACCATTCCTGTGCACCAACCCCACCATTCCTGTGCACCAACCCCACCCGTGTACCAACCCCACCCGTGTACCAACCCTACCCGTGTACCAACCCCACCATTCCTGTGCACCAACCCCACCCGTGTACCAACCCTACCCGTGTACCAACCCCACCATTCCTGTGTACCAACCCCACCCGTGTACCAACCCTACCCGTGTACCAACCCCACCATTCCTGTGCACCAACCCCACCCGTGTACCAACCCCACCATTCCTGTGCACCAACCCCACCCGTGTACCAACCCCACCATTCCTGTGCACCAACCCCACCCGTGCACCAACCCCACCATTCCTGTGCACCAACCCCACCCGTGTACCAACCCCACCATTCCTGTGCACCAACCCCACCCGTGTACCAACCCCACCCGTGCACCAACCCCACCCGTGCACCAACCCCACCATTCCTGTGCACCAACCCCACCCGTGTACCAACCCCACCATTCCTGTGCACCAACCCCACCCGTGTACCAACCCCACCCGTGCACCAACCCCACCCGTGCACCAACCCCACCCGTGCACCAACCCCACCATTCCTGTGTACCAACCCCACCCGTGCACCAACCCCACCCGTGCACCAACCCCACCCGTGCACCAACCCCACCATTCCAACCCCACCCGTGCACCAACCCCACCCGTGTACCAACCCCACCCGTGCACCAACCCCACCCGTGCACCAACTGTGCACCAACCCCACCCGTGCACCAACCCCACCCGTGCACCAACCCCACCATTCCTGTGTACCAACCCCACCCGTGTACAACCCCACCATTCCCGTGCACCAACCCCACCCGTGCACCAACCCCACCATTCCTGTGTACCCACCCCACCCGTGTACCAACCCCACCCGTGTACCAACCCCACCATTCCTGTGTACCAACCCCACCCTGTGCACCAACCCCACCATTCCTGTGTACCAACCCCACCCGTGTACCAACCCCACCCGTGCACCAACCCCACCCGTGCACCAACCCCACCCGTGCACCAACCCCACCCGTGCTCCAGAGCATGGGGGGAGTGTAGTAATAATGTGAGTAGAAGCAGGTTTAGCAGTACAGAATCTGAAGTTGGTTCGTTTCCGTCCCCAGATTCAGCAGCACTATTATCCTTGCCAACACCCGTCGCCTCACAGTAGGCACCAGGAACAGAGAACGTCCGCCCATTACAACGTTTACAACTCCGCAATAACTCCAGAAAACGTACCAATTATGTTCCCAGTAAGTTGTCCTTCTAACCCGCTGATTTATGTATGAGATCGCTCCACCACAACTCTCCTGAAGCATGTATGAAGATCTTGCTGTTGCTGTTTCTGCTGCTGCTGCTGCTGCTGCTGTTTCTGCTGCTGCTGGCTTTCAGAAGTTGACGCCGGCGGGCAAGTCAGCGTTGTGCCGAAGCCACAAGCTTTGTTATATATCCGCCTTCATCTGTTAGCTACTTGGAGTTTGGCTTCTGTACCATTAGTACGTGTCTCCATTCTTGCTATGTGGAGCGATGCTCCCGACCGCTATATTGAGCACACCCTGCTAGCACACCCTGCTAGCACACCTTGCTAGCACACCCTGCTAGCACACCCTGCTAGCACACCTTGCTAGCACACACACTGCTGGCCAGCGCTTGACACATCACTGACCACAGCATATATTGACTCATCTCTGTTAAACCTCACCCCGACACATCTCTCAGTATTAAACCCCACCCTTACACCTCTCTGTTAAACCTCACATGACATATCTCTGTTAAACCTCACCCCGACACATCTCTGTGAACCTCACATGACACATCTCTGTTAAACCTCACCCCGACACATCTCTCAGCCACCATAAATATCGCTAATTTGTCTCATAAAGACATCGCTTTAACTCAGTATTAACTTGCCATTCTTACCCTATAAGTGACATCTCGAGGATATCATCCCATACTTAAAAAGTGTTTTTTTAACAATCACCAACACACCAATGTGAACCTTTTGGCTTTTTTTTTGCAAAATGTCTCATCACTTTAAAGTAGTCTAAAAAAAAAAAAATCCTTCCAATTTCGGGCTGTTGTGCATTTCCTCATTCATGTGCTGCTGTTTTGTGTTATATATTGTGTTCATTCTCCATACCTAGTGCTTTTGTGTGTGTCCTGATGAGCCTCTCAAGACTGGTAGAGATTTTGTAGTCCTTAACGGCATCTCTACTGACCACCCACCAAACACACACCGAAACTACGACGTTGGTACAACGTTCGAGCAAGTTTTAACACCTCCTAACCAGTTATAACAACCAATATAGCAAGTTGTAACAACGTTCTAATACGTCATAAACACGTTAAGCCAAGATGTAACAACTTTATTTCAAGTTGTAACAAGCGGAAAATAGAGACAGTTTCGGTTTGTGTTTCCAGGGCAGATCTTTGATATAAATACAGTATTGCATTATATAAAAGCAAGACTTTTATATATATATATATATAGCATCGTCTTGAATGGGCCTCCGGTGTTCAGCTTCCGTCGTGTGTACTTAGTCGTGCTTTCATTTTCCCTAACGCGCTTGTGTTTGCGAGGTCTGTTGTGTTAGTGTGTAGATACGCCTTTACCTGGAGCCAAGTCTGCTTCCTGTGTCAGGCCGCAGTCACCTTCGCGTGCTTGTGCATTATGTTCACCTTCGCGTGCTTGTGCATTATATTCACCTTCGCGTGCTTGTGCATTATATTCACCTTCGCGTGCTTGTGCATTATGTTCACCTTCGCGTGCTTGTGCATTATGTTCACCTTCGCGTGCTTGTGCATTATATTCACCTTCGCGTGCTTGTGCATTATATTCACCTTCGCGTGCTTGTGCATTATATTCACCTTCGCGTGCTTGTGCATTATATTCACCTTCGCGTGCTTGTGCATTATATTCACCTTCGCGTGCTTGTGCATTATATTCACCTTCGCGTGCTTGTGCATTATATTCACCTTCGCGTGCTTGTGCATTATATTCACCTTCACGTGCTTGTGCATTATATTCACCTTCGCGTGCTTGTGCATCATATTCACCTTCGCGTGCTTGTGCATCATATTCACCTTCGCGTGCTTGTGCATTATATTCACCTTCGCGTGCTTGTGCATCATATTCACCTTCGCGTGCTTGTGCATCATTCACCTTTGCGTGCTTGTGCATCATATTCACCTTCGCGTGCTTGTGCATCATATTCACCTTCGCGTGCTTGTGCATTATATTCACCTTCGTGTGCTTGTGCATCATACTCACCTTCATGTGCTTGTGCATTATATTCACCTTCGCGCGCTTGTGCATTATATTCACCTTCACGTGCTTGTGCATTATATTCACCTTCACGCGCTTGTGCATCATACTCACCTTCGTGTGCTTGTGCATTATACTCACCTTCGCGCGCTTGTGCATCATACTCACCTTCGTGTGCTTGTGCATCATACTCACCTTCGTGTGCTTGTGCATCATACTCACCTTCGTGTGCTTGTGCATTATATTCATCTTCGTGTGCTTGTGCATTATACTCACCTTTGTGTGCTTGTGCATTATATTCACCTTCGCGCGCTTGTGCATCATACTCACCTTCGTGTGCTTGTGCATTATATTCACCTTCGCGCGCTTGTGCATCATACTCACCTTCGTGTGCTTGTGCATTATACTCACCTTCGCGCGCTTGTGCATCATACTCACCTTCGTGTGCTTGTGCATTACTCACCTTCGCGCGCTTGTGCATCCTCACCTTCGTGTGCTTGTGCATTATACACCTCGTGTGCTTGTGCATTATACCACCTTCGTGTGCTTGTGCATCATACTCACCTTCGCGCGCTTGTGCATTATACTCACCTTCGTGTGCTTGTGCATCATACTCACCTTCGTGTGCTTGTGCATTATATTCACCTTCGCGCGCTTGTGCATCATACTCACCTTCGTGTGCTTGTGCATTATACTCACCTTCGCGCGCTTGTGCATCATACTCACCTTCGTGTGCTTGTGCATTATATTCACCTTCGTGTGCTTGTGCATTATATTCACCTTCGTGTGCTTGTGCATTATACTCACCTTCCTAAACGTTTCACAACCTTACTCTGCCTCACCGTCTGAATATATTAGTTTTCACAATTGAGTAGTCATCCACTCCCTATAATTGGGCATTCCACCGTATAATTCTTCATCCAACCCCCTGTGATACTTCATTTAAACTTATAGACGCTATGATTCCTCATCCACACCCCTAGACTCATCATCCACACCCCTAGATTCATCATCCACATCAATTGATTCTTCACCCACTTCCCTTGATTCTATATTCCCTGATTCTTTATTCCCAACACCACTACCACTACCTTCAATAAAACCAACACTACCACCACCACAACCATCACCACCACTTTAGGTGGAGTTACTGTAAACTGGGGTACCCTTGTCTTTTAAATTACTCTAGCTTTTCACCTCTGCAGCAGCCGTTAGCTTTGACACAGCAGCAGACGTCAGCTTTGACACAGCAGCAGCCGTTAGCTTTGGCACAGATATCGTTTAGCTTCGATGTATTTGAAACCGTTTGCTAAGAGAATTTTTACAACAGGTGTTATCTGTGGAACAACAGTAACTAAGCCGCAACGCAACAGGAAGCTGAAGCTTGGACAGTTTACCAATCGCTAGTTTCTACGTAACTGTTTGCCGTCAACACTGATATCAGCAGAAAGTTTAGACAATGGTAGGTGTTTAGTTTACACAAAAGGAGGCTTTAGCTTGTACAAAAGGAGCTGCTTTTAACTTGTCCAGCAGCTGCTTTTGTTTTACAGAAAAGGAGCTACCTTGAGCTGGCAGAAAAGGTCATCAGTCACCAGAGACTATCATCGTAGCCGCTGCTCGAACACGTGTACCCTTTGTGTACTAGATCGGCAACGGGTTCTCTTAATGTTAGTCAAAGATAACTACTTTTGTGTCGTTTAAATCTTCCTGTTAAGTCATAGTACATATAGCTACTATGGATGGCAGTACAAAATATGGACTGTTGTACCCTTAAAAATCATGTACTATTTTGTAGAAAGCTGTAGGAGAAAAGGTGACAACCTAGTCTAAGTTTTGCTGACAATAGTGTAGTATTCTTCTCAATCGACTTGAGAATGGTCCAGGACGGACCGAAATGTTGTCGTCCCTTCACTTTCTAGTGTGTGGTTTGGTCAACAATAGTGTAGTACATTTATGCGAGTACTGCTCGGTACTCACTTCCCCCTTCAGAGCAGGAGAGATTGCTGAAATAGAGGGAATACAGAGAACATATACGGCACGCATAGACGAGATAAAGCACCTAAATTATTGGGATCGTCTCCAAGCTCTCCAAATGTACTCACTAGAAAGGAGACGAGAGAGATACCAAATAATATACACGTGGAAAATACTGGAGGGCCAGGTACCAAATCTGCACAGTAAAATAACAACATACTGGAGTGAACGATATGGAAGAAAATGCAGAATAGAACCAGTGAAGAGCAGAGGTGCCATAGGCACAATCAGAGAACACTGTATAAACATCAGAGGTCCAGTGAAGAGCAGGGGTGCCATAGGCACAATCAGAGAACACTGTATAAACATCAGAGGTCCAGTGAAGAGCAGGGGTGCCATAGGCACAATCAGAGAACACTGTATAAACATCAGAGGTCCGCGGTTGTTCAACGTCCTCCCAGCGAGCATAAGAAATATTGCCGGAACAACCGTGGACATCTTCAAGAGGAAACTAGATTGTATTCTTCAGGAGCGCTGGACCAACCGGGTTGTGGTGGGTATGTGGGCCTGCGGGGCGCTCCAAGCAACAGCCAGGTGAACCAAATTCTCACAAGTCGGAGAACTCCCAGAACCCCATCCAAGTACAGATACTGAAGAGAATCCGTATATTAGGCTTAAGATTCCTTATTTAGACCTAGATTAGGTTTGGTCAATGATTTGCCTGTTTCACCTTGAGCTGTGTCATTGAACATTCCAATAATACACAACGGGAACTTTTGAGTACAGCCGCACATTGTTGTACATTGCCTCCATGTTACCTATTACTTCCCTCTTTTTTTTTAGATGTTTGACGGCTAGAGTTGAGCTGTATATTCACCTAGTTGTGCTTGCGGGGGTTGAGCTCTGCTCTTTCGGCCCGCCTCTCTACTGTCAATCAATCAACTGTTACTAATTAAATTCCCTTCCAGTGTGTGTGAGAATGTGTGTGTGTAAGAGAATGTGTGTGTGTAAGAG